CAGCACTCCTGAGGAGCCCAGCTCAAACATGGACACCACTGCTGGCCTCTCTGATGCCACCACCAGCTCCTCCCCTGAGCAATCCAGTACAGGCTACTTCTCCTCTGCTCCAACGCTTCCTCCCAGCATCCCTCCATCCACAGTCATGGCTCACAGAACCGCTGAATGGGAAAAGAGTGTGATCTCTTCCTCCTCCTACATGCCAGCATTGGCAGAAACCACCACCACTATCTCCACACAGCTTCCTGCATCTGCATCTCACAGCACGCATGCCTGGGACACGTCAGCCATAGCCTCAGCCACCAGCATCCTCCCCACTGCATCCCAGACCCTGCCCCACTCACACAACACCCTGCAATCAAGCTCATCCCCTGAAGTCCTGTCCTCCACACCAACTCCAGCTGTGTCACATCTGAGCTCCACACCTGCTGGACCCACAGACTCACCTTCTCCTGCTCCTTCCTCCCCTGGGACCATCACCCCACTCTTCACCTCCACTCTCCAGGACACCACTGAGCAGATGGACACAGGATCAACACCCGTGAGCACCTTGACACCAAGTCAGACTACAAGAGGACAGGACATTACATCTGCTTCTTGGGTCTCCTCAGGCCTCCTCCACACAAGTCCAGCATCTTCAGACACAGCAGTGTCCTCTGTAGAAGACTCCAGTTCTGTCCCCAAAATCCACTTTACTCCCTTGGCCTCTTCAGAACTTCCTGTGACCACAGCTGAGGAGAGAACGCCCTCCACCCCTGGGGTCATCACAGTTTCCACACAAATACCAACATCCTCTCAGACAAGAGAGATGGCCACCCAGACAGCTTCCTCCTGGACCGCAGAACTGACCCACTCCAGCACTCCTGAGGAGTCCAGCTCATCCTTGGACACCACTGCTGGACTCTCTGATGCCACCACCAGCCTCTACTCTGAGCAATCAAGTTCAGGCTTCAGTTCCTCTTCACCAATGCTCCCTCCCAGCCTCACTCTATCCACAGTCACACCTCACAGACCCACTGGATTGGAGAAAACCAGTGTGTCCTTCTTCCCTTACAAGACAGCTTCTGCAGAAATCACCACCACTGTCCATACTGAGAATCCTGCATCTGCATCCCAAAGCACAGGTACCTGGGATTCATTATCCATGGCCCCAGCCACCAGCACCCTCCCCACTGCATCCCAGACCCTGCCTCACTCACACAGCACCCTGCAATCAAGCTCATCCCCTGAAGTCCTGTCCTCCAAGCCAACTCCAGCTGGACCACATCTGACTTCCACAGGGACCCTGACACCTACCGGCCCCACAGTCTCACCTTCTCCTGCTCCTTCTTCCCCTGAATCTATCACCCCACTCCTCACCTCCACTCTCTATGATGCCACTGAGGGAATGGACACAGGATCAACACCTGTGAGCACCTTGACTCTAAGTCAGACTACAGGTGAACAACACATCTCAGCTACCTCCTGGGTCTCCTCAGGCCTCCACACAAGTCCAGCATCTTCAGACACAGCAGTGTCCACTGTGGAACATTCCAGTTCTATTCCCCAAAATCAGTTTACTGTCTCTGCTACCTCAGAACCTCCTGAGACAAAAGCGGAGGAGAGAACGCCCTCCACCACTGGGGTCAACACAGTTTCCATACAAATACCAACATCCTCTCAGACAAGAGAGATGGCCACCCAGACAGCTTCCTCCTGGACCACAGCACTGACCCACACCAGCACTCCTGAGGAGCCCAGCTCAAACATGGACACCACTGCTGGCATCTATGATGCCACAACCAGCTCCTCCCCTGAGCAATCCAGTACAGGCTTCTTCTCTGCTCCAACGCTCCCTCCCAGCATCCCTCCATCCACAGTCATGGCTCACAGAACCACTGAATGGGAAAAGAATGTGATCTCTTCCTCCTCCTACATGCCAGCATTGGCAGAAATCACCACCACTATCCCCACACAGCTTCCTGCATCTGCATCTCACAGCACGCATGCCTGGGACACGGCAGCCATGGCCTCAGCCACCAGCATCCTCCCCACTGCATCCCAGACCCTGCCCCACTCACACAGCACCTTGCAATCAAGCTCATCCCCTGAAGTCCTGTCCTCCACACCAACTCCAGCTGTGTCACATCTGAGCTCCACACTAGTCGGCCCCACAGTCTCACCTTCTCCTGCTCCTTCCTCCCCTGGGACCATCACCCCACTCCTCACCTCCACTCTCCATAACACCACACAGGGGCTAGACACAGGATCAACACCAGTGAGCACCTTGACAGAAAGGCAGACAACAAATGGACAGAACATTTCATCTGCTTCCTGGGTCTCCTCAGGCCTCCACACAAGTCCAGCATCTTCAGACACAGCAGTGTCCACTGTAGAAGATTCCAGTTCTGTCCCCAAAATCCACTTTACTCCCTTGATCTCCTCAGAACTTCCTGTGACCACAGCTGAGGAGAGAATGCCCTCAACCCCTGGGGT